AAAATATGCATTTTAATATCAAAACAATGATAATAATGAAATGAATTATAATAAGAACAGAAAATTATTATTATTATTATTATTATAAATATTATTATAGTTATATATAATAAAATTTTTAAATAATTTAATAGTTATAGAATTTATTTATTATATAAAATTTGTTAATAAATGATAAATTTTAGTCAAATTATTTATTATTGTATTAAATAATAAATTATATATATTATATTAAATTAATAAAATTATTTCATAATTCTAAATAAAAAAATCAAAATGAAAAAAATTTATAAGAGCATTTCTGACATAATAATAAAACTTAAAAGATGAAAATAAAATAAAAAATTTTTCATTAGCCAATCACCAACTGAACTTAAAATGACAGATTGATGCTGATTAGTAATTAATTTCACCATTACCCTGTTTTGATTTAAAAGTCACAATTGACATAAATTTTCATGCTGCACCCCCCACTTGAGATGCTTCTTAATCCAAATGGGGTTTAAGTCATTAATTTTTGTTATAAGCATATCACCTACCATCAATGTATTATGATTAAATAATTATAATTTAAATTTGTGTGAAATTTATTGAAATTTTATATAAAATTCATATTTTTATAATCAATTTTTACATAATTTTTTATTATGATTTGATAGTTATAAAATTATAGTAAAAATAATTATTGTGAAATATATCGTATTATTGTGTAGTAAGAATTAGTAATCAAGATAAGTTCAAAAAAATTAGGAATCAAGGTCAAATTTATTATTATATTATTGTTTAATATTGAATTTTGCTATTGTATTTCAATCTTGTTAAATATTTTCACTATTATAATCTTTTGATTTAAAAAAAAATCGATGAAAATTTTTATTTACATTAATATAATATTTTATAAAATATTTCAAAATTTATACTTGTTGCCCAAAAATAATGAAATAAAAAATATACGAACAAAATTTATTGTATGTGCTAACAGAGTATTCCATGAAATATACCAATTACGTTACTTTAAAAAAAAAATCAATGAAATTGAAAGCCCAATGAAAAATGTCAATAAAATTAAAGTAATTAACAAAATTTAATATGGAATCATAACAAATGATAAATTTTGTCTTTATGGCAAAAACGATAAAAATGACAAATAATTAAATAGGAGATAATTAAGTGGTTAGAGTTTAATATAATATCAGTAATAGATTTTGACTTGCTGTTCACGCTTGATTTATTTTTTTATTCTTTTTTTTTTTTTTTTGGAGAAGGTGGTTAGTAGTGTCAAAGTTTAAGATTGGTACTTGTACTTATCTCGATTTTAAGGATGTGTTTGGATCGGTTATTTAAAGGAAACGTTTTATTTCAATCAATGCTCTTAAGACTTTTGAAATAAAATTATTTATTGAGTAAAAAATTTTAAAATTTTAGATGAAATTTTACCTTAAATTCTTTCTTAAAATTCAACTTAAAGAGGTAATTTTTTAAAATGCTTCCATTTAATCCATTCCCTTTATTACATATGTTCCAAAGCTCAACTCAAAAAATTATATCCAATGAAAAATTTAATTTTTTATTCGAATAAAAATAGAATAAATATTATATTATGGGATGGGAATGAATGTAATTTTAAATTTTTATTTGGTACAAAAATGGTGACAAGTAATATAGCATTCGTCATGTATCCGTATCCCAAATTTATATACATATATATAAATTTATGTTTAATATCCTATCAATATATAACTGTCAATGAATTCAATAATGAATCACTTATTAATAAAGTGAATCAGATATAATACTCATTAATAATGACACTTCATTAATGAATAAGTTATTTAAAAATTTTAATTGTGTATATTTATTTTAAAGATTGATATTGATCATTAATAAAACATCATCATTTGATTAAGCTGATAACGTATAAAGTCTATACACTTATAGTACTCAAATATAACTCTCTATATATTTAGTGTATATATTTCTTATAAATAATATAACTTATATTTTAGATAATTAGAATTAATATATTTTTACTTAAAAATATATTTAATATATACTTATAAAAAATTACATGCATACATATAAAATTTAGAATTAAAAAATTAAAAAAAATAATTTTTTTAAAATGTTATAATAATATGGAAATTATCGATACCTATTAAATACTCATGTAGATAGAATAAATTTAAAATACATTTTGAGAGAACAAGGATGTGTGTAATATAAAAATTCGAGGATAAGAACTGGGGAATACTCTACCCACCTCATGCTCTATCCATTGACATTTTTATATAAAATATCATTTTATTTAACTTTAATATATATATATATTTATTATTAATAATATCTATATATTTTTAAATACATAATGATACCCATATTGCATATTTTATTTTTACATATCTATACTTTTTATCTTTAATATCATTATTTTTTATAATTTTTTTATATCAACAAATTTTAATAGATTAAATTTCTTTTCTAAAAAATAGTTTTCCTATCAAAATAATTATAAATGCTAACATTTTAAAATGGTTGGGGGAGTGAATATTCAATTAAAATGCATTCATCTAAATTTTTCTAAAATTTTATATCCAAACCCACTCTTAATCTTTATTATCAAATTCCAAATTAATGTCAATTGTTGGCGGAGTGAATATCCTTTTTTTTTAATTCTTATTTTACACTTAATTTATCATTGATCCTATTACACTTATTATCTATAAAAATTCATATGATTAGAAAGGACATTACGCTTTAAACACTAGCTACT